GCTGATATAAACTGAAGAATAAACTTGACATTTCAAAGCGGCAGTATGTAAATAAGTTGTTACCAACACGAATACCTCGTGAAAAAAGTGGAATATTCGAATTATTTTCACTTCCGTGTACCAATATTTGACTGTTTTCCCATGTTCACAGGCCAGTGTCTTTTGTGCATAATCAATTATTTCATTAATTTCTTTGGAAACATTGTAGCTGTTGAAGAATTTGGTTCACAAAACTGTCTGAAATGTAATACCTCCAAAGATAAAGCTAGCAAAGGGTGGATGCGTTTACATCGATTATAGTGGGTACCTACTAAAAACCAAGTAAGAGAACCATCAGCTATTATCCCAGCTTCCCTCAATTACGAATGGTCCTTCAGATTCTCCAATATGCTTCCCAACAGTTTTGAAATATGCCTTTGATAATAATAATAATAATAATAATAATAATAATAATAATCTATTTATAAAGCACTAAATATCCAACAAACTGGTTGTTCAAAAGCACTATCTAACATTTAATGAAGAGGTTGTCAAATAAAGAACTTTCTGCAGTCTGAATTGTATATGCCATCTTTGCAATAGCCAAGTTATATGTCACTATCATGTATTCCTGACTACACTCTTCACCATTCTGTTGGAATCTCGTCATTGTTTCCAAAACAAAATCGAGGGAGGTTGGAGTTTGATTGATTTAAGGAAGATAAAATATTTGTTGTTGAGGAAGGTTATCTTTTACCACAAGTGAATTCCATCCTACCCACATTTGTGTATCAGTAGTTTCTAATGCATGTGATATCATCCATATGACATCCAAAATCTTGCCATCTGCACAACTACTAGGAATAATAGATCTTCTGTGATAAATCCACTGTTGGTCATACTAAGCTTCTTCCTATATGGTTCCAGATTTAAAAGGATTGGAGTAAATGACCATCTTGTCCGACAAACAGGAAGCTGGTTATAATTGTCAGTTGTTTCAGTACAGGCAGTACAGGTAACCAATGATATCTTCTGTAATCCATGTGGAACCATACTTTGTTCTTCCTGTGAACTGTATGTTAATTCATCTCCAGTTCTTCGATGTCGTTGTAACTAACACGATTTAAAATTAAAATATCAATTACTTTTCTTCGGCTTCCTGTTATACTCTTCATCGCCATTACAAGAGTCAAATGTTTGGACGTTTTAATTTTACTACACAAAATCTTGAGAAATTAATGCAATTTTTCTTACATTTTTTTCTGCGTTTCTTCTCTCTGGGTGGGCCCTCCTAATAAATGAGTAAAAAGTCGATTACTAAATCTGGCACAGAAAGCTATCCTTGAGTTATATCCTGCACTGTTAATTTTGATGACAAATTTGACTTTGGTACATTTAGTATTTCCTTACGTAATACGTATGCTATGTCACAAATCTTTGCATTTATCGATGATTTTCTAAGAACACCTCTTTAATGGCCTCCTCAACATTCATTCTATTGTTATAAATGATATTTCCTTTAGTATTTGATGATAATAATGTCAATTTCTCTGATTCAAAGTAATTCACTATCTTCGTTTCAAAATTGAAAATAGTAAAATCACCAAATATATTATTATCTTTGCTGCTATCCTCCGAAAACAGATTTGCAATGTACTGATTATACAGTTCTTTTGTTGTGTATACGTTTTCGTCTTCAATAATAAATAGATTCTTGTAAAAAAGATAATGCCATGGCAGTCTTTGGCATCTGGTTATTCCAGTCTACGCTGGTAGTATTCGCCTACATGGGATATGTTTAGCCTCGTTCATCGCGTCGCTTCATACAAATGTTGGATATCAGAAGCCCAACTTTCAAGGGTAAGATAATAACATCAATGTTGATTTAAATTGACCATTAAGTCCTGTTTGCAATGTAGAAAACTGGAGATGATATTGAGTTCCAGAATGATACCACATGGAGGTCAGTCGTGCTGTATTGAATTTCCACTATGTTGTTGAAAACTGCAAATTAATAATGGGGTCGTCAAACTGGTCAGCATGAGTATTCAACCTCTGGGTGGGTAGTGACAATTAAGTGGTCAGATTAGGAGTTTGCCCCACAGAAACCCATCAGATTTGATATTTTTAGAACCGACTAATACATAGTTAACATTTGGCACCAGTTTCAGTCATATTGCTTATGACTATGAGGCAAATTTTTACCCCATTTGTGGGTGTGGCAGATTAGGCACATTTAAGTGGTCAGATTTGGGGTTTGCCCCAATGAAACCAGCCAGATTTGATATTTTTAGAAAAGTCTCATAATTAGCTAACATTTGGCACCAATTTCAATCTTATTACTTATGAGGCATTTTTGGGCCCCCGTCCACACTTTTTAGGGCAGTCAGAAAGGGGCGTGGCTCCATTTTTTCCGGTCAGATTTTGCATTTTAAGATTCAGATATAGCACCACAACATTTCAAAACTATTTCTGATCGTATTACTTATGATGCAAATTTGGACCTTTTTTGTGGGCGTGGCAGATCGGCCAGATTTTAAGTGGTCAGATTTTGGCCCCCGTCGGCACTTTTTAAGGCAGTCAGAAAAGGGCATGGCCCCACTTTTTCCGGTCAGATTTATATTTTTTATATTCATACATTGTATGGCAACATTTTAGAAATAATTCTGATCCTATTACTTATGAGGCAAATTTTAGCCCTTTTTGGCCCTTTTTATCTGCCCCTCCCAGCCAAAAACCCCACTGGAACCTCGTAAGACTGGATGTTTTGAATTTGCCCTATCAATAGCTGCCAATTAATATGGTCAAACCTTCTATTACTTACGAGGCAGTTTTTTCGTCACTGGCTCTTGGTCTAAAACCTTTATGTGGTACGTTTCGCCGTTATTTCAACGGGAATTAGGTTATTATATGTTAAGCTATGTGCAGTACAGTTTGGGATCCGTTTAATTGGAAATTAAGGGAGTTATAGGCCAGTAACGTTTTTGTAGTCAAATGACTAAATACTTGCTCAATGGAATTCCTTAGAACGATCCTGCCCCTCCCAGCCAAATGCCCCACTGGAACCTCGTAAGACTGGGTGTTTTGAATTTGCCCTATCAATAGCTGCCAATTAATATGGTCAAACCTTCTATTACTTATGAGGCAGTTTTTTCGTCACTGGCTCTTGGACTATTTGTAGAGGATATCAATTGTAGCGGTGGATAAGGCAAGTAGGCTACCAACGCTACAAATATTGCAGCTATCAAACATACTGACATTATTATTTAGAAGATGCTATCCAGCCTAGTATGGCATACAATAATCATAGAATATTTTGAGCGGCCAGCAGGGGCGTACATAACGATTTTGTTTGGGGGGGGGGGTGTTTAGCCAAAATGCGACCGACTGATGCCCATACCCCTAGTTCGAGTGACGCAGTCAGGAGCCGAGCACCACAGGTGCGAGTTTTGTAGGGGCCATGTGGAGTAGCTGATCTAGATAGGGGTAGGAGGGGGAGGGGGTCCAAATCTAGGGCGCCACCCCAGCCACAATCCCTCCCCACAATGAATGTCAACAAAATACTGGCTATAACATTAAGCGTCCCGGTAGAACATAGATGGTATTGTATAATTATATAGTTGTTTGCGGATCGTTGTCTCGCTGGAAAGCAGTTTTATTTAAGTTGACATAAAGTTTATGTCATATATGATTGTGCCTATAACACTGAGCAACCTCAGAAATTGAGTCAATATCTTGGCATTTGAGGTCATTGCTGGAAGAAATTCTTGTGGACGAGAGGACCAGAAATGTGAGTTAATTAGACAAAATCTCGAGATCCGCCCCTGTCAATTCCGCCTGTTTTGCAAGAGTTGACAGAACTTTTGTATAGTCTGACGCCCCACGACCCACATACCAGTGCCAGTGGTACTACTAACATAACTAGGCAGTTCAGTATAACCGTGAATATGATAGTGCTGAGACAGTATAAGACAACAGAGGAGTGGGAGAATGATGTTATAATGGAATCGAGCGCCGCAGGCGCGAAACAATTTCAGATGTGTAACCGAGCTTTTAATTTTTGGGACTGGGCCTGACAATTTTAGTCATTGTCCTGGCAAATGGATCCACGACTCACTCACTAGTGGTACTACTAACTGGGCGATTCACTTTAACTGTGAATATGATAGTGACGAGATAGTATAAGACAGAGAAGGAGTTGAAGAATGATGGCATAATGGAATTGAGCGCCGATATGTAAACTGAGCTTTTCATTTTTGAGGACTGGGTCTGAGGGCACTTTACCTCAATGGGGCGCTTACTTGGTCTCTGAAATGCCCTGGACTTTGGGGAGAGATTTTGCAGAATTCTGATGGTCAGAAAACACCCCATTAATTTATTTAGTCTGGGACCGACTGCGGTGAGCACTTTTTTTGAGACCGACTATTTTTTTTGCCATGGGGTGAAAAACATTTTTTCAAACATGATAAGTTGACAAGGTTATTTTATACTGAAGTTTTGCGTGAGTAGCGTGACGTGTGCAGTGAGCACTTATTTTGATACCGACTGCTCTTATTTTGCGACCGACTGCACTGATCTTGCGACCGACTAGTATTTGGGATCTATTCTGGCATTATTTGTTTACCTCATTAATTCATTAAGACGGCGACGCATAATTTTGAGACCGACTGCAGTGACTGCACTTATTTTGAGACGACTATTTTTCTCCGTGGGGGAAATTTTGTTCTTGGACCTACATACTCACAACAGAATAAGAGTGAAACACATCATTTTTTCAAACATGATAAGTTGACAAGGTTATTTTATACTGAAGTTTTGCGTGAGTAGCGTGACGTGTGCAGTGAGCACTTATTTTGATACCGACTGCTCTTATTTTGCGACCGACTGCACTGATTTTGCGACCGACTATTTTTTTTCCTGGGGGGGGGGGGGGGGGTACCACCCCCCCACACCCTCCACATTTACGCCCCTGGCGGCTAGTATTAACGTGATGCGGTTTCAAACTGATCAAAACGAATCGCTTCCGTTTCGGGAAATAGTCCCTTTGATCTTTTATTTCCTTTTATTTGATAATCAAGGCTACAATATAGCGGGTTTAAGCCTTAAGGCCATTCTGATGGACCAGACATGCACATGATCACAAAGTGTCCAGCGTAGGATTGCCGTAACCAGCTACCACTGTGATCCATTTGGGTAAAACATGGTATCGAATTTCTATTATTATCTATAAATAAAGCACAAACGAATCTATTACACATAGTCAATATGTCCGCTTGGCTGTTCCATACTTTTGAAGCGCTCTAAGCTTCAAATGTATATTGGTAAAAAGCACCGAGATCTGCTTAATCGTTTTAAAAATTAAAACGTAAAACGACCATAGGTCTATCCAATTAAACGAAATTCAAGTGAGTTCATTTTCAAGTTCTGCTAATCCCCAACAATTGATATTCATTGTTAATGGTGTACATTGTGCAGAAAGTTTTAATTGGACATGAAACTGGATAGACTCCTGGGCGACTAAGTTTTTTGACAGATATGAATTAGGAAGTTTGTAGGAAGGTGTTCACAGGTCCCTCGGGCCTGGATAGAGTTCAGACGAGCTGGCGTTTCTTGATATTTAACATGCAGAGATAATGTTACTTCCTCGGCCGGTACAACCACCTGAATTGTATGCCGATAATAGCTGGATCGCTGTCAGTTTGAATTATGCTATTTGGTCTCGTTTCTACTGTTTTTGAAAGTTGCTGTGACAGTTGTCTTTTTACAAAACGTTTTCAATTTTCTTTTGAATTTAAAATCTGTCAGACAGAGGCGTGTAGGCAACTGTCATAAATACAAAAACAAAAGAAAATGGAAATATTTCATAACGCTTTGAGAATCCTATGAGATTTCCAACCAGGGTGGCTATGCACCCTCTCTTCCGAAAAAGTGCCCTCCCGTTTTGAAAAGGTTCCCTCCCCTTTTAGAAAAAGTGCTCTCCCGTTTTGCAATAGTACCCTCCATTATGAAAAAAGTACCCTTGAATTTCGAAAGAGTTACCCCAAATGCTCATGGAAATGTCCGCGTCAATGTCGTCATATTCCCATTGCCCTGATGATAATATTGTGCCCCTTTTCCTGTTGCCCTCCCTTGTTCAAGCCGGCTCCTGCTATACCAATAAACCACGCGCGCTCAATGGTTGGCTTTCATCCTCAGTGGGACAGGGAACCATTCAACGCTGCTGGTGATCGACTGAATATGGCTGCTATTTCTCTGATTTCGGTTTCGATTTTAAAAAGATAGCAGTTTCCAACCATTCAATATTCATGTTCACAATTCAGCATTTAGCCCCTCATGGAAATGTCCGCGTCAATGTCGTCATATTCCCATTGCCCTGATGATAATATTGTGCCCCTTTTCCTGTTGCCCTCCCTTGTTCAAGCCGGCTCCTGCGATACTAATATAAACCACTCGCGCTCAATGGTTGGCTTTCATCCTCAGTGGGACTGGGAACCACTCAACGCTGCTGGTGATCGACTGAATGTGGCTGCTATTTCTCTGATTTCGGTTTCGATTTTAAAAAGATAGCAGTTTCCAACCATTCAATATTCATGTTCACAATTCAGCATTTAGCCCCTCATCAAACAAGTCAAGGGCGGACTGGGTAGCCCAGCGCCCTTGGACCAACTTGCGTCATTGGGCCACAATCGCGAAATGACGAGAAAACTATTTCTGCACCTTATTCTGAAATATCATCCTTCACCTTGGATTTAGGCCACTATATTTTCTTTTGGATGCGAAGATGAATTTTATTTATTTTAAAATAAATATGTCAATTCTCTTTTCTTTTCAATCTGGGCCACTGTGCCACTGAACCTTCTGGGCCCTCGGTCCGAGTGGGAGTGGCAGTCGGCCCCTGAAAACAGTAGTAATTAACTGTACTTGTTTGTCGGAGAAAACGACCCGAGCTGATAGTTTGCAAGATTTTGGGATTTAACATTCAATCCATTTCTACTGAAGGCTTCCAGATTCGATTTCACAGTCGGATTAATATTTCCATAACATTCAGAATCTTTGTTTTATTTATTTCGATAAAAGAATTTAGAAAAATAAAAAAAAAATTATCGGAAATTACAACGCGGTCAACGGGGTTAAAGCAGACTCTTTATATCGGGGCCATTGTTCTTGGGGTTGTATCAGTTTATTCTTAAGTGCTACTCCTCCCTCATTAGCGAACATTGTCGAATGAACTCGGCAGGTATTCTTTGTAAGGAATACCAGTCACTTCTGATGCTTGTTTTTCTCTACTCGTAGGTAGTTTAGTTCTTGGTTGTTAATAACTATGTTCATGTTTAGATCTTCGGGACTTAATCAACAAACGTCAAACAACTGTAAAGGTATGGCGATGTTCCTGGAGCAACGACCACGAGTTTTACAATATCTAGCCGTTGTCTGATATTTCCGAACATACAGGAACATTAACCCCCTTTACCGCAGACGCGCGAACAATAGCGTTGTTCAATTAGAGGTCATGACACAAACACACTCAAATTAAACATGGCGACCTCCACGGAAACCTTGACATTGAACCAATCTTTGCAACTCAATTATCACGGTTATACATTTTAGCTGGAAAGCGCCAGATTTAGTATTCGCGATCTATTTTCTATCGAGTAATCTAAGAGGTGCCCAGCTAGGTCAGTAGCCAATCGTAATTAATGACGGAATATGCAGGGTATTACGTGAAGGGTTTGATAAGATGTACGGAGTTAAAGCGAGATCAAGACTTTTATAAGAAATGAAATGAAATGAAATGAAATGGGGTTTAACGTCCTATAGTTCGGCTACTAAACTGGGCTAATGAAGACGGGCCTTTTATAAGATGATTTATGGTATGCCATGGCTCAGATATCGTCAGATCGACTCTAGCATGTGCTACAGTACCAAACATTTCCAGGCGCTGGACACCACCCCCACCCTGAAGTGCTGTATCATGCCTCTGCTGTCAGGTACTGTTCAGCAAGAAGCCTTGTGAAATATTTTGTTTGGCAATTAATCAATTGACGCCCACCCCCTCTACAAATTTAAAAGTACGAGGACGACAAAGCTGCTTATTGTAAACCTAGACCACCCATTTTGCTGCCTTTAAATGCGCAAGGCTCAATGTTAGAAGCGTAGGCGCGAAAACGATTGCCCACGCCCGCAGAATACACCACTGACTCTTTATATTTGAAATGTAATTTCTGTGGGGCTAAATCCGTCAGCATTTGTTCATATATGGATGCACATCTTTCTATTTTTGCGTGAATTGATAGTTACACCGAGAAGAACAATTTAAAGATAGTGTTTGTGAGGTTTCTTACTCATGTTCTGCTTGGTCTATTTCCATTACGCAAATCTCCATGTCACACGCCCTCAAATCCAAATCATTTGACGGAGAAATCCGCTTAAATGTAAAAAAGGACGAATGCTATCAACGAAGACTTAATGCGGTGAAAAGGGAACTTCCGATTGAGACGAAGTATGGAATAACTGTTGATAAGTCGTGAAAGCAAGAAATTATTGTACCAAAAATAGACAGACTATTAAATGACATCGGTTTAAATACAAATTAAAATAGATACCTGTTTTCCAATCTGTTTTTGAACCTGTTGTTTTCGTATTAGATATACATGCACCTGCAAGAAGAAGCTTTTTCGTGCCCATTATTCCTTTATGTGACATTGGCGTAGTATATACTTCAAGACACCACAAGGATTTAACGTCAAAAAAATGATGTTCTATGTCGTTTTTTGTTATTGGAAGGCAAATTTAATACATTTTCTTTTATAAATATTAAGAAATAAACCCATTTATGATTTGGTGTTTAATGCAAATGAAATGAAATGGGGTTTAACGTCCTACTGTTCTGCTCCGACAGTGATAATAAAGACGGACATACGCCATACAGTGTGCTACGAGGGAAATTTTGTCCGGACAGCGGCGCTACGGTCTACTCTTATATCGAATTCCAACAGCCAAGCGTTCTTTTACTTGCAGATTTCAGAATCGGTCCAATTATATACGCTCGTGATGTGAACGTCCTAACCCGTGTCCGTCTATCAGTCCATTGATTCGCAAACCCCTCAAACTTTCCGGGATAAAAGGGAATTCTACCGAAATCCAAAGATTTGTCTGCGACATCAGTCCTAGGTTGGAGCTGGCGTTAACCTTCACGAAAGAACGAAATCCAAAGTTTGGCATTGATTTTCGGAGGAATGTTGTCTCAGTCACTAAATCTTTGTGAACACTGTAATAATCTGCGTCGACTTTACAATGAGTTGATGTTCCTGTCATGGAAACTATGACCGACATAAGTCATATGATTTCTATATATTAAAAACCAATGTTACTTTTCCCATTTTGGTAAACATATCTTTGACAACATTAATATATTTTAAATATATTTTATTTACCTAATTATTTCTCAAGTAAGATACGTGTTGAATTAAACAGACACTGGCATGAGTGATATATTGTTCTTATGAAAACACATAGTCAATTAACTCTTTACAACCAAATATCAACTGGCCCCTGGGTTATAGAACCTTATTAAACCAGCCAGATATAATTTAGACGAAGCATTACAGTCTAAACAATGGAGGGATTAAGTATTGGTCATTAACCAAACTCTCTTTAAAACGAACTATTGTTTTAGATTTCAACTTAGAAGCAATATTTTATAGTTTAATGTGTCATAATTGTCTATTATATATTTTGTAGAATTGTATTTCAAACATAGAGTGAGCTATGGTTTAGAACAGATCGGATCTCTCTCTTTCTTGTAAATATTTGTTGATTTATCTATGTTTAATAAATCACATAGAGGTTACTTTGACTTAGTCTTAATTTTATAAGACCAGAAACAACGTGGTCACAAAACCTTGTCCCACAAGTAAGGCCTATTGAAATTCTGAGTCGTGCGCCGGTTTTACGCAGAGCCATTGTCCCTGTCATCGAATATCATAATCGCACTCCTTGTGATTGTTTTGCTAATGTGTTATTGCACTTGTGGTTGTGTTCTTAAAACTTGCTGGTACTGACTGGCTAAGCATAAGAAGAAACCTCTAGACATCCAGGGTTAGGCATTGATGTTATGCCGAGTTATTGTCCCTGACACTGACACCGCGTAAACACGTTTTGAAAAGGTATTGCTCTTCTGAATGACATTATAAAGTATATCTGTTTCTGACAACGCCATTTTTCTAACACCCAAAAGCTTACCCGGACTTTTATACTGGTTATATGAGTGGTGGATAGATTCTGATAAGTGATGTCCATGTCCAAAAATGTATAGTTTTCCTCTTTCACGATGTAATACTCAATGTAGTTTTCTATAAATGTCAGATATTTGATATGATATGTTTATGGAATCTTTTAAACATAGGTATACGAAGAATGAAGATGAGAATGTATTACTCTTTACTGCTCCCTTTTAAAGTCTATAGTTATATAATATACAATACTTGATTCAACGGGAAGAAACTAATCCTGACAGGAGCAGGACATGGGAACACATACATCTGAATCTTAGCAATAAAAATAACCAATGTCAAAGAGTAGTGGAATACAAAAGTGTGATTTACAGAAAAAGATTCCGATAATTATTTTCAGAAATACAAAAAGATCAAATCTGAGATAATGATTAAAAAGGTGTAACTGAACACAGTCATTTGGTTGAGTTCTAGATTAAGAAAGGACTCTTTCACCGGACTTGCGGGATTTTGGACATAAAGTACATAGAATGAGATAACTTAAGTAACTTATACCGTTGCTGGTAGCATGTTTAATAAATAAAAGAATCATTCTTAACCTCGCTATTTAACAGAAAGTTGCAAAGAGCATCATTAATTTCATTAACGTCACTAACTGAAAACGACTAAAACGTTTGAACAAACAGCCTTTAATCAAGCAATCCAATTACTGGGAATTAAATATGTGATGTGTGCCAGTGAAATGCTCAGCGTGAGAAGTTGTTACACGATGTTGACTTTAAGATTCCGGATTCCATTCAGTCTGAGATGGAAACAGGGAAGGAATCAATTTAATCATATAAAAGCTTTCCTGCAGGCTAGTGAATCAATTTGCAGCTTGAGGAAACTATTGTCCAAACGTTGATAAGACTTTAGTGTTAGGACTCTTTTTATAAGTTCGTCGGGTCATTTCTTTCTGCATTAAACGACCAATTGAATCCATTAAAAAAATATTCCAAAATTAGTTCATGTTTGAGAATGACAATTTTATTCCTGCTTCGGACGAATTAAAATATTTTCCTAAAATTTGATCCAGTATTTCGTCTAGACCATCTTTTACATATATCAAGTTAAGTCAATTTGCAGTCTCGTTGAATGGCAGTTCATTATAGATTCTCTTGGGCGTTGAGTTCTAGACAGCTGGAAGACCTATGGGCACTGTATTTAATGTTATTAATCGTTATGTACAATACAATTATTTTAAAATAACTTGATAACGTATGTATTCATTCGTTACAACGTGTGCTCTATGACCATGGAACATATGCGAAAAGCTATCTGAACTCCTAAATTAAGAAGTGGTATCAAATCGTTATAGAAGAGTAAAATGGTTCGATAATTTAATGTGTCAGCGTCCACCGGTGCATTCTCTGCAGATAAGTCAATCTGGTATATGAGTGTATAAACTTTCGATATTTCATAGAAAATCTAAAAACAAATAGTATCATTACTGATTTAATCTTGAGTTTACTGCATCCCAAGTCTTTTGAATTTTTTCTATGATATGATTTTGCGAATTCGAGTTTTTTGTTTAAACCTTCAGTTTTGCCAGGTAATTTCGACAATGCATCGACTCCCCTACATTTCTGCTATCTAACAATGCAAATCACACTGCCCCTATTGTCTGCGATATCACCTTGGTGGAAGCGGACGTAAAATAAAGCTATTCCACACACACACACACACAGTGCCCCTTTAGGACTCAAATAAGTGGAAAGGGACAGTTCGGCAGATTTACGTACATTATCTATGTTATATGTCTTCGTATTCTCACGGTAAAACGTTAATTATTTTCATTAAACTCATTAGGTGTTGTTTGAGATTTGAATTTCAAAATGTGACATTTGGGATAAAGCATTTGATTGGGTTGATCTGATGTGTAATTTCGATTAGTGATTGTACGCATCTTTATTCGTTTAAGCAGAAGTAGGTAGGTTTGCTAATTTAAATTCCATTATTGGTTCAAACAACAGAAGTAAGATCCCGTACAAATATTCAACAGACTGAACCACTTTAGAAATATTCAATTCATTAAATCCAATGAAATTGACTATTATGCATTTGACCCTGATGAAAGATGTCTTGTCAGTTTTACCAAACGTTGATTTGTATAGCAAGTCCCTTTCCTCCCCCCAACCGCAATCTTTTTTTTACAAATTACGTTATCGAACTCTTACAGTAAACGTCTGTAACAACCTTGATGTCTGATATAGAGTTGAGAAACCAGACCTGATCAGAGCCACTTATGATTTTATAATTGAACTAACCGATTCTAGTCATTATCGTTGATTCTGTTGACTTACTCACATAAAACATAGCAATAAAAAGAATAATCAAGAGCAGTCAGGTCTCACATTAAAGGATTGAAATGTGTTGTTCAGATAAATGTTCACGGGTGCGGAAAGAACGTTATTATTCATGAAAGTGGACTTCGAAGCGATACCATCTTCGAGCAAATGTCAACAATCCACAAGTCGTCTGTATTTCTATTTCCTATTGGTAATTTGTGGTAAAGGAGAGGTGGAACCATTTGATTAATCACGTCTGTTCAAATTATTCTCGATTGATCAGTAACAAGTAGAAACTGTGGTCACCGCCATCTTAATAAATGTGACGTTCAGTCATCTGATATACCACTCTTATCTTATTAATGTTTTGGCTAGACTTCATAAATTGCCCTTTCGTTATTTAAAATGTATTGTTTTTTTCTCTGTTCGAGCGCATAATACTTGACAAAGCGCCCTTTATACTGTCTATTTTGCTAAAACTATTTAAAAAAAACCCCACAGTTTTCGAACTTTTGTAAGAATTCCTCTTAGGTATTTAACTTTAATATACTTTCAACATTAATTTCTTTAACTAACGGAAATATAACAGCGTTAATATGTTTGTCTTATTACAGGGGATCACGTGGCTAAGTGGGTAAGACGCTGGCTCGGTAGCCTGGAGGTCGGGTGTTCGATCCCTGCATTGGCCGAGAAAGTTCATCCAGATTTTCCGGCGTGGTTTCCCCTTGTCAGTGATGCAGGACGGAGGGCCTGACAAGGACAGCTGTCTAGTTGTTCGGATGGGACGAAAAACCGAGGTCCAGTGTACATATTGGCGTGCACGTAAAAGATCCCTTGGCAGTTGAAATTCGATATAAGAGTAGGCCGTAGCGCCGCTGCCCGGGAAAAATTTCCTTCATAGCACACTGTATGGCGTATGTCCGTTTTCATTAGCCCAGTTTAGGAGCAGAACAGTAGGACGTTAAACCCCATTTCATTTCATTTCATTTCATTTGTCTTATTACAGTTAATGTGGCAATGATAAATAACCTGAAAATGATCGTTACCGCAGCTTATAATTGATACTTACATATAATTATCCAATTTGTGTTGAAAT